TGGCCGATCTGCGGCGGGAGGAAGCCAGGCCGTCCGACGAGGCACAGGCATAGCCGTTGGGTTTGGCCGGCGTTTCTCTAGCAAACTTTGCAGCTACTTTTCAGTTTGTTCGGAAGCGCGCGCGTGCCCTTGTGGGTCTGTCTGTGTGCCTCTAATACACACCGCTGCACTGACAACTGGTCAACAACAATAGTGGAGGGGAAGGTGTGCTCGCCCGGGGGCAGGTAGAGAGCGTCCTGTTGGGCACTTTAAGTAGGTCTATAACATGCGTATCCGGGGCGCGTACACACCTCTGTCAAATGTGCGCGTAATAGGCGAGAAGGTGACATTTTCACATAGAACTTCGCTGTCCGCATGACGCCGATGCGGGTTCAGCGTTGGGTACTTGGTGCAAACCGAAGCGGCAGGAGCGAACAAGTTGTAGGGAAGGGGGATTTTTATCCCCAGTCGAATAAATGCGGGGAAGCTTTGTTACAAGCCCGCCGGTTCTCGTGTTTGCCAGTCGCCCCCGAATGTCCTAGCTTCTCTTCCCGTTCACACGCTGGAAGGCGAAGGCATTTCGGAGCGAGGAAAGCGGGTGACGGATTCACGTTTCCCAAGCTGTGCACCGGGGGCACTTGTGGGAAGTGGGAGAAGGGGTTAGGCGAAGGGCCCCGCGCAGAGGACGAGGGAGCGAGCTGGAAAACCAGCGGGGCTGGATTTCAGAGCTTGGCTTCCCTCTGAAACTTTCTTTGCTCCCAGCTCTTTCCCAGGCGCTGCTGGAAAGCCCCCCCGCTTTGGTCGGGGGGGATTCGCCAAGGGAAAGCCGGGAGCAGGCACCCCCCGGCCTGGTCTCTCCAGGTCTCTGGCCTCTCCCGGCGCAGGTGTCTTTTCCTGGCGGTTCTAGAGCGCATGGAAAAGCAAATGCGCTGCAGGGAACCCCCGCAGCTCTCAGGGCCGCACATCTCCCCCGGCCGGGGTGACTGTAAAGCGGCCTGGCTGTGGCGGGTAACCCCCTGGCAGGCAGGTCTGGCCCGTGCCAGGTTAGATCCGTGCCAGCCACAGCGACCCCGCGGCTGTTTTGGCTTCAGAAGCTCCTGCTTTTTCTCCCGAGTCTCGCCAGGACGCGCTCTCTTCCCCGCACCGAGCGGGGGGAGTGTGCCCGCGGGGCTAGGGAAACTCTGCCCCGGGGCAAGAGGGCCGGGGCTGCTCGGCGGAGAGCGGCCGTGTACAGAGCTCCCCGGAGCCCTGGGCTGGGACAGGGGCGCTGGGGGGCAGAGAGCGGGGCTAGCCCTGAAACGGCGGCTGGCACCGGCTTCACTTCGCGCGGGACCTTGGGCCGCTCCTGTTCTAGTCTGACGTTGTTTGAAGATTAGCCGGGCTAGCTGAAGCCGGGGGTATTAATATGTGCATTGTCCTTAGCTGCTCCAGCCCCCGGCCCGGCCGGGGGCAGATCCCTGCCACCCCCGGGGGGGAGAAGCCAGCGGCAGCCCAGCCGGAGACAGGGCCGGGGGCTGCGAGTTTTGCTCTCCGCGAATTAACACCCATCGGATGGCCGAGCTGTTGCTGTAACTCTGATCAGGTGTAGCAGGGCCCTGAGAACCAGCAACAAAAACCAGGCTCCGGGCGGGACCGTCCCCGGCTGAAAAAGAAGAAACCGCCTCCTGCGGCCTTTCCAGCGTGTCCGGCCTTCCCCGGCTCGCTCTGCAGAGGTGCGCGGATCCCTGGGGGCGAATGCCTCCATAGAGCCGGGTCCCCTCCCTGCCACCCTCTCTCCGAAACGCCCTAAGGCCGGGGGAGACCGGGGGAGCTAGAAAGAGCATCTGGCAACCACGGGAGTCATTGGACAACGCCCGGAGTGATCCGAACCCACCCGAGCTGCCCCGGCGAGCATCCGCCCCAGATTCGCATCTGCCCGAGAGCTCCGGGGCAGCCGCTGCCCGCCCGTGGCTCCTGCTCACGTTTTACCTAAACGAGTCTTCAGAAGTTTTGAGGTTTTTTTTTTAAAGCTTTTCAGGCCCCGGAAATGCACCCAGCTCGGCCACTGCAACCAGCGCTGGGCCCCCCCGCCGCGTTGCATAGTATTCCCCGCTCCGAACCGCTCCAACGAGGAAAGGAGAATCGCTCTGCAGAGCGAACGAGCCTGGGGTGATCAAAGAAAGCCGCTTTTTCATGCTGGGCTGTGCGTGGACGTGCAGCGCCGGGGTTACCGCTGAATAACTAACGCGACTTCCCACCCCGCCCCGCCATCCCCTTCCCGCGCCCTCTCGCTGATGTGTTAAGTCGCTAAAGAGCCTCCCCGGGCCGTGTGTGCGGGCGACTGGCTGCGCCGCTTCTGCCACTGGTGGGGTCCCCGTTGCTCACCCCGCTAGCAAACCCGCCCTGCGAGCCTCTTCCTCTCCGCGCCTGAGCTCCCTCCCGCGGCCCTTGGCTGGCCAGCCCGGGGGCTGCCCTGGGCGAGCTGCCCGGCGGCGGGAACTTTTCCTGACCCCGTTGCAAAAGGAGAGAGTCATTCTCTCCGCGGCAGGGTGTTAAGGGCCGGGGGAAAGGGGACGGCGCGGATCACAGCTCTGGCTTGCAAAGCACGCCAGGGCCAAGGGGGTGCCCTTCAAACCCGCTGCGTGCCCCGTGGAGACCGGCCTGTGCTCAGCCAGCTCCGATCCCCTGCAGCAAGCGAGTCTCGCTGCTCCCGGGGTAGCTGGGTTCGGAGCCCAGCCTGGAGCAGGCACCGGCTCGGAGTGGGCAGCCCCGGGATCTGTCCATGGTGCTGACGCCGGGCTAAGGCCTTTCCGGGCACAATCTCCTCTGCCTGCCAGAGGCACCTGCTCGCCGGATTCCCGGCCCAGGCGGCGGGTGAGTTCAGAGCCAAGCATGGGTGATGACAGCGGCTCCGGGCGGGCGGGCGCCCACCGAAACACACCCCGGCTTTGCCGGCGAGCGCCACACTCCAGGGAATCTCTGCTCGAGCCATGTGCACCGGCGGGGTTTCCTTCCAGCGCTCCGGCGCTCGCTCGGAAACGCCAAGGCGGTTACAGGCTGTAAACCGTTTTCTCAGCTCCTCTGCAAAAGGGTCTAGGCCTCGATCAGAACCAGGCATGTACCGCCGGTTTCCCCTGTTGCCACCGCTCCTGGCTGCTTGCTCTAAGAGCTAACCCGGGAGTCCAACCTCAGGTGCGCTCCCGTAAAGCGGAGTCAACGCGTTTAGGAGGCTGCGGGTCTCCCGTTCTCTGAATCCGACTTCAGTCCGGTCCCGCTTCGCCGCCTGGTGTCTGCCGCTGCCCTTTGGGCCAGGCTCTTTGCCCGGTCCAGTACAATGCCAGGTCCCTTTTCCCTCCCATGCCCAGGCTGGCCCACCCCCGTCCGGGACCTGTCCTCCAGCCTAGAGCGCAATTCGGAGCCCCATTCGAACGGCCAGAACTCGACCAAAAACCCGGGGTTTGGGTGCTGTCCGTTAGGGGAGGCAAACTTCAGATCCGGATCTCGATTCAGATTTTGAAACTCCCTGCCCCCCCTCCCATAACCTGGGGTGTCCACACCTAGAGAGGAGACGGAGCAAAATCCTCGGTAATTTCTCGTCCGACCTGATGCCCGCTCCATTCTGCTTCAAGTTAAAGGCTAGAAAAGGAGGGGCAGAGAATGTGCCTCGTCAAGGAAACGGGGGGGGGGTCATTTCTTTACTTGTTTGGCTCCAGGAAATTGGAAAGCAATTTTTATCTTTGAAAAAAAAATGTAATTTGTTCCCGCAAGACTCAAACGGGACGTGCCCCACTTGCCGTGCATCTCGTGTGACTCCGAGCAGGGCTGTGTGGAGCGGCTAAACA